CTCTCCGGCCATTTCATTTCACAGAAGTCGGTTATTTTATCACCAAGGGGACGGGGAGAGCACCCTGTACACGACCAGGCTCGCCGGACTCGGTTTCCCTCCGGAAGAGCTCAGGCTGGGCCCGCACCTCGGCTCGGCCTGCACGGGGCGTGTGTGCAGAGGACGGGCCATGAAGGGGTGACAGGCCCAGGTCCCGGGGACGAGCAGCGGGGACAGGGCTCGCCTTCCCTCCGATCACGTGTCTGCATGGAGGAAGCCTGCCCCTCGGCCAGCCTGGCCGGAGGTACAATTCAAAGGGCTTTTTAAAAAACTGTTTTTACTGGTTTCAGAGAGGAAGGGAGAGGGAGAGAGAAACATCAGTGATGAGAGAACCATGGATCAGCCGCCTCCTGCACGCCCCCCTCACTGGGGATGGAGCCCCAACCGGGTCTGTGCCCTGACCGGGAGTCGAACCCTGACCTCCTGGTTCACAGGTCGACGCTCAGCCCCTGAGCCTCGCGGCCGGGCGGCGTCCGTGGTCCGTTTGTGACTGTTGGCGGTGACCACGGCGGGTCCTCCTCTCGGGCACACGCTGTGTTTAGGGGTGAGCGTGTCGTAAGGTCTTTCTCGTGGGAACAAACTGCTCGTTGTCCCAGTCGCTGCAGCTGTTGTCACAGCGAGAACCACAGAGACGAGGCCGCGAGAGCCCGGGGCCCGGAGGGAGGGGGCGGGACCTCCTGGTCCAGGTCACAGCTTCCCCAAGTTCCCGTCTTCCTAAAGGAAGAGGCAGCCTGCCCGGCGGGGCCCTGCTTAGAGCGCCAGCCTCGGGCCGAAGGGTCCCGGGTTCGGTTCTGGTCAAGGGCACGTTCCTTGATTGCAGGCTCGAGGCCCAGTCGGGGCCGTACAGGAGGCGGCCGGTCGGAGATCCTCTCTCATCGATGTTTCCATCTCTCTATCCCCCTCCCTCCTCTCTCTCTAATAAATAAACAAAAACATTAAAAAACAAAGAACAAGGCCAACCTGTAGCTGTGAAATCACACAGGCCGCCCATCCCGTGGCCCGTGTCCACCCCAGCCGGGAACGCAGTCGGACGGCGCCCGGAACCGCACCGTCGGTTGGAGGTGCCGGGGAGCAGGGAGCCCGTTAGTCACACGTGGGCAGGGAGCTTCCGAAATGCCGGCGGCCACTGCGGGGCCCTGGCCTGGGCCACCTGCCCATCTGCTCTCGGGCACGACCAGGAGAGAAGCTGATTTGCATGAACACGGGGGACCCTGGGAAAAAGGACCTGCTCCTTCCAGGGCGTTTGAAATTTCCCCGGGAAATACAAAACCCAACAAACAGAGAAATAATGAAATTTCCCAGGATCCCCCTTAAGTGACAACAGTGTTGCTGTGTGCATTGCCGTGCCGTGTGCATTGCCGTGTGCATTGCCGTGTGCATTGCCGTGTTCATTGCCGTGCCGTGTGCATTGCCCTGCTGTGTGCATTGCCGTGTGCATTGCCGTGTGCATTGCTGTGCTGTGTGCCGTGTGCCGCGTGCCTTACACGGCTCGGTGCACCGGGCACAGGCCCCCGAGGAGGCCGGGCGGCTGCTGTTTTGAGGGAGGAGAGGGAGGTGAACGGGTTGGGGGGCCCCGAGCATGAGTCACAGGTGCCAGGATAGGGAGGGACCTCAAGGACCCGTCCAGGCGGCGGCTGCTGGGCACCCGGCTGGAGAGATCGGCTCTTGGGGCGGCAGCTGGTCCAGGCCGGACGGGGAGAGTGGCAGTTAGTAAGCGCGGGTTCGAGAGAAAAGGGCCAGTTTTCCCTGAGTCTAACCCAGGTCCCGGTCATTAGGCCTCAGCTGTGGGCCCCCTGCCCGCACGCTGGGACCCCGACACCACGCACGCATCAGGCTCCTCCTCCTGGGGACCTCGAACCAGGCGAGGAGGCCTTTCCCAATTGGGGAGCTACGTTCTCAGGCCTCACCGCATCGACAGGAAACGGATGGTGGTGAGTGCGTCACCCCAGAAACAGCACGTGTGAGTGCAGATCCTCACACACACACCCCTCCCCACCC